GTGGCTCAAGCCTGTAATCTCAGCATTTTGGGAGGTGGAGGCAAGAGGATTATCTGAGCCCAGGGGTTCAAGACCAGCCTGGGCAACTTGGTGAGACCTTGTCTCTACAATAAATCAAAAAATTAGCTGTGCATGGTAGTGTGCTCCTGTAGTTCCAGCTACCTGGAAGGCTGAGGTGGAAGGATCGCCTGAACCCAGCAAGTTAAGGCTGCGGTGACCATGAGCATGCCACTGCACTCCAGCCTGGGTGACAGAGTGAGACTCCAACTCAAAAAAAGACAAAAGAGTTAGTGCACATGCTGTCCTGTTAGCTGTTACCAAACTCCCTTCCAGGGAGGGCATACCATTTGCCTTTCCTACTGCAACACACAGGAGAGAGAAGCACTATTTTAATGTATGTACATCATTTCCTAACTAAGATGTAGTAGAGAGGTGTATGTATCTAGTTCTATAGGGACAGGTGGGTACGTGTGTAGACAGGGCATGGAAGCGGCCAGTTGACTGTCCCCTTTATGTTTCTTGCTTTTAACTTTTTTTTTTAGTTTGGAGTCTCACTCTGTCCAGGCTGGAGTTCAGTTGCATGCTCATAGCCACTGCAGCCTCAACCTGCTGGGCTCAGGTGATCCTTCTGCTTCAGCCTTCCAAGTAGCTGGAACTAAAGGCGTGTGTCACCACACCCAGCTAATTTTTTGATTTTATTGTAGAGATGAGCTCTCGCCATGTGGCCCAGTCTGGTCTGGAATCCCTGGGCTCAGGTAATCCTCATTTCAGCCTCCCAAAGTGCTGGGATTACAAGCATGAGCCACCACACACAGCCTTTTGTAAAATCCCATGTTTAAAGCATGGTTTAGGATTACTGAACATTCTAAAAGGGAGACATTATATGAAGGAAATTTACTCTATACATCTTCAGGGCTGTAGTCACCATCTGAGCCTTTTGTGAGCTGCAATTTGTCCTTGAATTTAGTTCCAATAAGTAATTATCATCAGTGAATTCAGCTGTTTAGGACATTCAACTAGTCCAGCTATTGTTTCCATGGCATCTTGCTACCTGAACCGTTTCCCTTCTGATACTTTCCAGGCCTGCAAATGATGAGGAATGGTTTTGTGACAGAAACTATGGTTTGAATTGCTTCTATCTTCTAAGAGTTGAGGAATAACAATATAAATAGTAAAGGAAGCTCTGCAGTAAACATTCCACTTCAGGGTGTTTTCTTTTATCTGCTAAAACCAGAGAATCTTTTATTACTCTTAACATGATTACTTCAGGCCGGGCTTGGTAGCTCAGCCTGTAATCCCAGCGCTTTGGGAGGCCAAGGTGAGAGGAGCCTGAGCCCATGGGTTTGAGACCCACCCGGGCAACTTGGCGAGACTTCGTCTCTACAATAAATAAAAAATTGCTGGGCTAATTTTTGGTAGTGCACGCCTGTAGTTCTGGCTACTTGGAAGGCTGAGGCAGAAGACTCGCTGGAGCCCATCAGGTCAAGTCTGTGGTGGCCGGAAGCGTACCACTGCACTCTAGTCTGGGTGACAGAGTGAGACTCCAACTCAAAAAAGAAAATAAAAAAACATGATTACTTCAGGTGTTACAGGCAGCGTTAGAAGGTTGGTGTTTCGCATGGAAAGAGTGTAGCCGTTCCGGTCTCAGCAGACGCTTTCCTCCTGTCTCCTGTGCTAACCTGGGATTTTATCTTTCTCATAGCAACAATGGTGTGGCTGGTGAATATGGCAGAAGGAGACCCAGAAGCCCAAAGAAGGGTGTCCAAAAGCTCCAAGTATAACACAGAAAGTAAGTGACTTGTATTTGGTAATTACCTGGTTTTTCAGGTCATTGATATCTCATATGCTAACAGTGAGTTATGGCTATGAACTCCTTTGAAGCTGTCTTGAAAACTGTGGTAGTGTCCAGTAACTACACAGATAAATATTTATGGAGTTCAAATACTCCAAACCCAACAATACTGTGATAGCTTGTGAGGTTAAGATTTCTGCCATTCAATATATAATGCCAGTATGAAAAGGTTCAAGTTGAAGCTATGATTTTTTTTAGTCAGGGTCTCTCGCTGTTTCCCAGGCTAAAGTGCAGTGGCATGATCATGACTCACCACAGCCTCCAACTCCTGGGCTCAAGTGATCCTCTCACCTCAGCCTCCTGAGTAGCTGGGACGTGCCTGGCTAATTTTAAAATTTTATGTAGAGACAGGGTCTCAATATGTTACCCAGGCTGGTCTCAAGATCCTGGGCTCAAGTGATCTTCTTGCTTTGGCCTCCTGAAGTGCTGGGCTTATAGATGTGAGCCACTGTGCCCAGCTGAGGCTGTGATTTTAAAAACAAAAAGCAAAACAAACTCTCTCCAAACATGTAAAAATGAGAACCTCTAAACATGGCTAGAGTAGCTTAAATATAATTTGACTTGAAATGTGGTAATTTTTATATTGTGATAAAATATTCTAGGCATTTATGACTTTTGGAAGAAGATACTATTGACTTAGGATAAGCCAGGTGTGGTGGTGTGTGTCTGTGGTCTCAGCTGCTCTGGATTCTGAGGTGAGGGAATCACTTGAGCTTAGGAATTTAAGACCAACCTGAGCAACATAATAAAAACCCCATATCAAAAATAATAATGACCACAGTAATGACTTAGGATGAGAGAGTGAAAGACCTATTACGGATACTAACGACGATGTTAAGGAGACCACAAGTTAGAAGTTGTTATTAGAAAGAGTTGAGGTATAGCGGTATCAATAGTAAAGAAAGGAAGCTCTTTCTTTTTTTTTTTTTTAAAGAAAGGACTAATGTATGAGATAGCTTAAAAACACAGTCAGAATAAAGATTGGTGAGGAAAAAAGCCCTTAACTGAGTTCTGATTGTCAAGAAAGGAGAAGTCTGTGTTTATAGAGGCGAGAAAATGACAGCTTTCACATTTGGGTTACTGCAAGGGGGACACCTTCAACCAGGAAGTGTCTCTTCAGGACCCACTGATGCCAGGCCTCATTCTGCAGGAGTAAGGCACAGCATAGGGGTCACTGGACCATGGGAGGCCTGGTGGAAAAGCAGGAGGTAGATTGGAAACCATGCTGCAAGCCTGGTGCCTTTGCTAACCTGTGTTGAACTAAAGAAAATTAAAAGATGAATTGTCTCCGAGTGAGTATATGTGTATATGAGTGTGCATGAGTGTGTTTGGAATGTCAGGGTTTTATTCTTTGGACAAATGTTGATTGAACACTTGTGTGCCCAGTACTTTACTAGGTACTGAGGACACGGCACTGAGCAAGGCATCACCTGTCCTCATGGAGCTTGTAATCAATTTGGGGAGATAGACATTCAATAAATAATTATGTAGGTAATTCATACAGTTATTATAAGTACCATAAAGAAGTAGAGATTGCTGTGGAAGTTTATAGAAGGGGAATTTTATGTCTTCTGGAAAATCAAAAAGGGCTTCCCTGAAGAGGTGAGGGATAGACGTTGGCCCCTGAGGAGTGGAGGAAGAGCTTTCCAGAAGGGAAACATGGCAAGGGCTTTGAAGTGAGAAGGCTGGAAGAAATGTGGGGCTCCTCAGTAAGTGACTGCTGTGTTTTGGGGGAGGCAGTTCTTCATTGTGCAGGACTTCCCTCACACTGCAAGACCTTTAGCATTCCTGCCTCAACCACCACATGCCAATGGTAGCTTTGAGGCCTTGAGATAACCAAAGCCTTGTCCATCCTAGTTTTTCCCAGATGCCTCTGGAAGGGAAGTGCTGTTCCTTGTTGAAAACCACTGTGGTGCTGGGCTCAGTGGGTCAGCCTATAATCCCAGCACTTTGGGAGACAGAGGCAAGAGGATTGCCTTACCTTAGGTGTTCAAGACCAGCCTGAGCAACATGGCAAGACTGTCTCTACAACAAATAAAAAACTTAGCAGGTGTGGTAGCGCATGCCTGAGTTCTAGCTACTGGGAGGGCTGTGGCAGAAGGATCACTTAAGCCCAGGAGCTCTAGGCTACAATGGCTATGAGCGTGCCACTGCACTCCTGCCTGGGCAACAGAGTGAGATGCCAACTCAAACAAAAAAAGAAAAAGAATACAAAGTGACCACCACAGGATTGACTGGGGTATCCTGGGCAAGGCCAAGCCAGAGACCCTGACACACACAAGTGTTGCCATTCCCAGTGAATCTTATTCTGCTCTGAGCTTGTTAAAGGAGGTGAAGAGCACTTTAAGCTTCACTTGTGCATTTCGATTACTTCTTTTTTTTTTTCAAGTTGGAATCTCATTCTGTTCCCCAGGCTGGAGTGCAGTGACACGCTTATGGCCACCGCAACCTTGACCTGCTGGGTTCAGGCGATCCTCCTCAGCCTTCCAAGTAGCTGGAACTACAGGCATGCACCACCATGCCAAGCTAATTTTTTGATTTATTGTAGAGATGAGGTCTCACTTAGTTGCCCAGGCTAGTCTCAAACCCATGAGCTCAGGTAATCCTCTCACCTCGGCCTCTCAAAGTGCTGGGATTATAGGCGTGAGCCACCACACCCGGCTCAATTACTTTTAATGTATGGAAGTTTCTCAAGACTCACCAAGCTCACCATTTTTAATTATATTGATATTCATTACAATGAAACGACTGACTAGTGAAGAGATTCACGCCCTTCCACTCCCAGCCCTCAGAATGAAGGCGCTTGTATAATTTAGTTCCTAAAACCAGTATGAATTCTGGTGGTTAGGAAGTTTTCAGCTGTTGAGGACAGGAACGCTTAAATCATGGTCTTAAATGGAGAAGATGTGTATTCCCAGGTGACAGAGGCCAGGGGTCGGCACTCGAAACCTGTGGACGTGTTTGAGGTGGGTGCTTTCCATCTCCTGCTCTGCTGTGGGTAGCATCTACACTTGGTCCTCAGCCCACAGCTCCTCATGGCCACAGGAACTGTGACTCCAGGCATCACATGTAGCTAAGACAGATCTAAGGACAAGAGATCTGTTTGTTTCCTCCTTCAATCACTTCACGTAATCTCCCCAGCTTCCCAGCAGACCTTGCCTTGCCATTTGTTGGTTCATGCTCACACTGTAGAGCTTTCTGGGGAAGAGGTATGGTGGGGTTCTCGTGCTTGCTTGACTTGACTGGGATTTAGAGGAGCCACACACAGGCACCACTGCAGCCTGCCTTTGTGATATACGACCAGCTATCCTAGTTTTTGTGTACTTTTCTTAAAGGCTTTAAGCAATATAGCTAAAGATTAGAGATGTACTCTCCACTTTCTTTTAAAGGCACAGAAAGGGAGTCACATGACACTGTTGCAGAGAATGATGATGGCGGCTTCAGTGAAGAGTGGGAAGCTCAGAGGGACAGCCAGCTGGGGCCTCACCAGTCGACGCCCGAGTCGCGGGCGGCTGTCCAGGAACTCTCCAGCAGCATCCTGGCTGGAGAAGACCCGGAAGAAAGTATGTGTATTTCTGTACTTTGCAAAGTCATGAATTCCCAGAGGTGGCTACCTTAACAGCCTCCCCAAGGGTGAAATGAATTGAGAGAGCTACAGTCTAATTCTAAGTGACATAGAGTGTTGAGTGGGAAACATCAATAATAGTTGGAGCTTTTGTTATAATTTTGTTAATAGAGCAGATTCTGCCCTTCAGTTTTTTTATTTTTATTTTTTAGTTAGCTCTTTACAGCCTGAACTTTTTGGCACTTATTTTATTTATTTGTTCTTTTTAATTTTTCGGTCAGGGTCTCATTCTTTCATCCAGACTGGAGTGAATGCAGTGGTACAGCCACAGCTCACCCAGGCTAGTCTCGAGCTCCTGGGCTCAAGCAATCCTCCTGCCTCCGCCTCCCAAAGTGCTGAGATTACAGGCGTGAGCCACCATGCCTGGTCTGGCACTTATTTTATTTTATATATATATATATTTTTTGAGTTGGAGTCTCACTCTGTTGCTGGAGTGCAGTGGCCACTCCCGGCCACCGCAGCCTCGCCTGCTGGGCTCCGGTGATCCTTCCGCCTCAGCCTTCCAAGTACCCGGAATTACAGATGCGCACTACCACGCCCGGCTGATTTTTTGATTTATTGTAGAGATGAAGTCTCGTTGCCCAGGCGGGCCTCGAACCCACGGGCTCAGGCAATCCACTCACCTCAGCCTCCCAAAGGCGCGGGATTACAGGCTGAACCACCGAGCCCGGCATATTTTATATTTTGTTTATTTATTTATTTGAGTTGGAGTCTGACTCCGTCACCCAGACTGGAGTGCAGTGGCACACTCACGGCCACCCCAGCGTCAACCTGCTGGGCTCTGGCGATCCTTCTGCCTCAGTCTTCCGGGTAGCTGGAACTACAGGCGTGTGCTTCCACACCTGGCTAATTTTTGACTTATTGTAGAGACAAGGTCCCACCAAATTGCCCAAGCTAGTTGCGAGCCCATGGACTCAGGCAATATACTTGCCTTGGCCTCCCAGAGTGCTAGGATTACAGGCTGAACCAACAAGCCTGGCCTTTTTTTTTTTTTTGAGTTTGGATTCTCACTCTGTCGCCCAGACTGGAGTGCAGTGGCCACTCCCGGCCACCGCAGCCTCGACCTGCTGGGCTCCGGTGATCCTTCTGCCTCAGCCTTCCAAGTAGCCGGAATTACAGGCATGCGCTACCATGCCTGGCTGATTTTTTGATTTATTATAGAGATGAGGTCTCGCTGCCCAGGCGGGTCTCGAACCCACGGGCTCAGGCAATCCACTCACCTCAGCCTACCAAAGGCGCTGGATTACAGGCTGAGCCATGGAGCCCGGCTAGCCCGGCCTATTTTACTTAATGTTTGAGTCAGAGTCTATCTCTGTCACCCAGGCTGGAATGCAGTGGTGTGCTCATGGCTACTGCAGCCTTGACCTACTGGGCTCATGTGATCCTTCCGCCTCAGCCTTCCAAGTAGCTGGAACTACAGGCACATGCCACCATGTTCTGCTAATTTTTTTTTTTTTGATTTATTGTAGAGATGAGGCCTCACCAAGTTGCCCAGGCTGGTCTCTTACTCATGGGCCCTGGCAATCCTCTCGCCTCGGCCTTCCGAAGTGCTGGGATTATAGGCGTGAGCCACCATGCCTGGCTTGGCACTTATTTTTTATAAAGTAAACGATTTTTTAAAAAAAGTATTATTCTGGCCAGGTTGCACAGAGATCTGGATTTGCATGAGACAACCTTTTGCATCGTTATTCCTTTGTTGGCAAGCACTCTATTAATTTCAAAGAAAATCAGAGGAAGTTAGGATATTGGCAGAAGTGCAAGTATTTCTTTTTCTTTTTTTGAGTTGGAGTCTCACTCTGTTGCCCAGGCTAGAGTGTAGTGGCATGCTCACAGCCACCACAGCCTCGACTTGTTGGGCTCAAGTGATCCTTCCACCTCAACCTTCTAAGTAGCTGGAACTACATGCACACACCACCTTGCCTGCCTAATGTTTTGGATTTATTATAGAGACGAGGTCTCACCAAGTTGCCCAGGCTGGTCTTGAAGCCCTAGGCTCCAATAGTCCTTTTGCCTTAGCCTCCCAAAGAGCTGGGATTACAGGCTTCAGCCATCACATCCAGCCAAAAAGCAAGTATTTCTTTGACATCTAAGATATGTTGCTCGTGAAGATTTAAGTGAGCACCTAAACCTTCCATTAAAACTCCTTGGCTAGGGCTCAGTCATCTCTCTAGTTAGTCTTAGTTAGAGATGTGGTTTACTGAACAAGAGATTAGCATATTTTGTGATGAACTAACCTGTAGTTTTCTTATTTTCAAAATAGTGTAAGTCAATTAAAATATTACAAGAATACTAAGTAGCTTTAAAAAAAACACTCAGATTCTGTAGCTTCTTGAGTCATTCATTACTAGTTTTACAACCTTGACACTTTCCTTCAGTTTGAGCAGAATAATTTAGTTTGCTCCAGTCTTAATTGAGTTGGAACTTTCCCTGGCCACGTCCAGGACTCTGCTGCTTGGTGAGTTTTTCCGACGTCAGCCCTGCCAAGCCTGTGCCTGTCTCGCTCTTGGGGAGCTAGATGTGCCTCCCACTTCTACACCAGACTTTTGCCTGCCTTCACTGGTGTTTTTCTGTTCTCACAGTCACTGCCATGATGAGGCTGCCTGTCCTGTCAGTCTCTTTCGCACCAAGGTGCCCCAGGAAAAAGGAAAGACAGAACATCATTGTGAAGCAGAACAGCTGCTAATTTTTTCTTGGTGGCTTTTTCAGTGTGAAGGTTCCCTCTCCTGAAGGAATTCTTCCCCTCTTCACTGCCAACTATTTTTTTGTTGTTGTTTTTTTAAAGGAAACTCAAGTATTGTCCCCCTTAGCTTAGAGTCAGTGTTTTCTTTATCTGGGGCCAGCATGAAATGATAATTGACATTCTTCCTTACCTTAGCATCCAGCATGTACATTCCAATTTATGACTGCCTTTATGTGTTAAACCAAACTTGGGGTTTTCTACAAGAAAATCTGAGTTTACACTGGAATCCAGTTTCTGGTATTTTTTTGTTTTTTATTTTTTAGAAACGATCTTGTTCTGTGGCCTGGGCTGGATGGCAGGCGAGTGATCACTGTTCACCGCAGCCGTGACCTCCTGGGCTCAGGTGATCCTCCTACCTCAGTCTTCAAGTAGCTGGGACTACACACACATGCCACCACACCCAGCTGATTTTAAAATTTTTGAGTTGAGGTCTCATTTGTTGTCCCAGCTGTGTATGGTGGCATGATCACAGTTCACCACAGCCTCAAACTCCTGGCTCAAGTGATCCTCTTGCCTCAGCCTCTCAAGTAGCTAGAACCATAGGTGAACACCACCATGCCTGACTCATTTTTTTTTGTAGAGACGAGATCTTGCCATGTTGCCTAGGCTGGCCTCGAACTCCTGGACTCAAGCAATCCTGCTGCCTCGGCCTCCCAAAGTGCTGGGATTACAGATATGAGCCACCATGCCCAGCCTAGAATTTGGTTTCTACAAGACAAGAGGAAGCCCCAAAAAATCCCAGAATTAATATATTAAAAATTGTGTATTTATTCTTACATGTTTAAACTCCAGTCACCTTCAAAGTACTCTCCGTTTGATGCAATACACCTATTGAGATGTTTTTTCCCACTGCTCAAAACAGTTTTGGAACTCAGCAATTTTGATGCCTTTTAGTGGTTCTGTCGTTTTTTCTCTTCCACATTGGCAAAACATTTCCCTTTGAGGACTTTTTTCATCTGGGAAAACCAAAAAAAATCATTCAGTGTAAGATTGGGTGAATAGGGAGGTTGGGGCATGGGAGTCATGCTGTTTTGGGTCAGCACTCTGCACAGTGTAGGCAGGTGTGTTCATAAATCACCCATCATGAAATGGGCAAATACACTGAAAGAATCTAAAAAAAAAGAAAATTCACTGAAGCTGAACACAGCCTGTCATAACAACACTATCTGGTACACTGATCCACTGGGTTTCTAGAACACTTACCTAACCAGGAAAACCTGTATTACAAAGGGGCCTGACCACCAAAAGAAAATTCCAGTGTTTTTGGGGTCCCCCCTCGAATGTCTTCCAAAGCAGTTTTTTTAATCACTGTTTAACCAGAAAGCCAAATAACATTTTAAGTTAGAAATATAAAACATTTTGGTTCGTGATGTAGGCAGTTGGTCTTCTCGTGAATTCCAGGATACACTTCCCACAGATAACTTGCCAATAATGGGTTCTTTCTAAGTATACTGGATAGATTTGCAAGTTTATTATCTGCGAAGTGAAATTAGCCTGTCATTTCCAGGAGTGGAAACTTGACTCAGAGACTTTTCTTCTATAGCCCAGGGACATGGAGGGAGATGGATTTTGCTAGTTTCTTCAAGTGGAAGAAGGGATTTTAGTAGTAGAAAGGTAAAATAATTGCAGGCAGTTTTTAATATGTTTATATTTATTAAAAAGATAATAGGAAATATGTTATTATATTTATATTAGGTATATATGATGCTGCTAGAAGTAAGGTATTTTTTGTTTGTTTGTTTGTTTTGTTTTGTTTTTTGAGTTGGAGTCTCACTCTGTCACCCAGACTGGAGTGCAGTGGCTGCTGCCAGCCACCGCAGCCTCGACCTGCTAGGCTCTGGCTATCCTTCTTCCTCAGCCTTCCAAGTAGCTGGAACTACAGGCGTGCACTACCACACCCGGCTCATTTTGATTTATTGTAGAGATGAGGTCTTGCCAAGTTAGCCAGGCGGGTCTTGAACCCGTGGGCTCAGGCAATCCACTCACCTCAGCCTCCCAAAGGCGTAGGATTACAGGCTGAGCCACTGAGCCCAGCTTGTTTCTTGTTTTTTTTAAAGACAGAATCTTGCTCTGTCACCTACACTCTGTCAGGCTGGAGTGTAGTGGTATGTTCTGCAGCTTCAAATGCCTGGGCTCAAGGGATCCTCCTGCCTCGGCCTCCCAAGTAGCTGAGACTGTAGGCATGCCAACATGCCCAGGTAATTTTGTAATTTTTTGTAGAGAGGGAGCCTTCACTGTGTTGCCCAGGTTGGTCTCAAACGCCTTGTCTCAAGCGATTATCCTGCCTTGGCCTCCCAGAGTGCTTGGATTACAGGCATGAGCCACCACACCCAGCCAGAAATAGTTTAAAGAAATCTTATAATTAAAGTGAATATAGGGTCAGGTGCAGTGGCTCACGCCTGTAATTCCAGCACTTTGGGAAGCCAAGGCAATAGGATTACTGAAGCTCAGGAATTTGAGAACAGCTAAGCAACATAGTGAGACCTCGTCCCTACAAAAGAAATTTAAAAATTAGCCAGATGTGGTGGTGTGTGCCTATAGTCCCAGTTACTCAGGAGGCTGAGGTGGAAGGATACCTGGTCCCTGGAAGTAGAGGCTGTGGTGAGCCACAATCATACCACTGAACTCCAGCCTGAGTGACAGAGAGACCCAGATTTAAAAACACACACACACAATTAAGAAAAGAGATATCTGTACACTCATGTTCATAGCAGCACTATTCACAATAGCGAAAAGGTAGAAGCAACCCTGGTCTTTATCCACAAAAGAATGGGTAAATGCAACGTGTTATATACGTATCATGAGATGTTAACCAGTCTTAAAAAGGAAGAACCTTCATTCTGATACATGATACAGCATAGATGAGCCTTGGGGACCTTTTGCTCAGTGAATTAAGCCAGTCACAAAAAGACAATATATATTCCACCTATGTCACAGTAGTCAAACTCACAAAGATAGAAAGTTGCCGGAGTCCCGCTCCAGCAGAATTCAGAGATTCCTAAAGGTGGAAATGGTGTTGGTGATTGTGAGAGAAAGAGGGAAAGAGAGGGAGAGAAAGAGACTTGGACTACTGTTCAGATTTGAGCAAAAGACCACCTTTTATTGAGTGTTAACAGTGGGCTTTTATACTCACATGCCTTTCACATGAACACAAAGCCAGGTATGTGAGGGGCGTCCCCCATCCACCAGATGTGCTTTTAGGTATGAGGAAGAAAATCCCATAACAGACTAACCTTAATCCATGACTGACTTATCCTATAAACCCTTTTCATCCTATGCTGATTTATACTAATACCAAGTTAAACAAGTTCTATAGAAACTTAAATACTTACTTTACAACCTAAAGCGACCCATCCCAGAATGTTTGGAATGTGGCCCAGTCCAAAGTTAACAGTGGGCTACCTGCAAGTAACCTAGCCGCATTCTTTCAACAAAATGGCTGTTTAAACTTATATTTCTAAAACTATATTCTACAATTTACATCTTACTCAACTTCAATAAATCCTAAAATCATGACCCAGAAGCCTGTGACCAATACTAAGGCTCTTAGATGTGACCCGAGTTTGAATTGTAAGTTGTGTGAAAGCCAAAACTGCAGTTTGTGGAAGAATGGGAACAATGAGCTTCTAAAGTTAGCTTCTGTTCGTCCCGGTCTCAGAGTTTTTGTTTGAGCTTACAGAGTTTATGTTTGAGCTTACAGGAGCCTTTTCTGGTTATAGTACTAAGTAGAAATGGGGAAGAAATGGGGTCAACAGCTCCAGAATGCATCCTAGTGGTCTTGGGGTCAACGGCCCTTCCTAATCCCTAACGCTCAGTGGGCCTCCTTGGCTGGCTCCCAACAGAAAGTAGAATGAAGACTGCCAGGAGTTAAGGGCAGGAGGGAATGAAAAATCCTTTTTTAATGAGTCCAGAGGTTCAGTTTTGCAGGATGAAAAGAGTTCTGTGAGTGGATAATGGTGATGGTTATACAATACAAATGTACCTAATGCTCATTTCAAAAGGGTAAAAATGGTGAACTTTATGTTATGGATACTTTACCACAATTTAAAAAGTGTTTTTAGAAAGACACCATCAAGAAACAAAATAAGTTACAGCTGAGAGAAAATACTAGCAAAGCATACTGAAGTCCTGTCAAAGTGCTTGTATATAGGGCATATACAAAATGCTTTCAACAACGGGAAAATGCTTGACTAGTCATTTCACTGGAGAAGAAACATAATGGCTAATAAGCACATGAAAAGATGTTCAATGTCACTAATCAGAATAAATAGACCAACAGTGCCAAGTGTTCATGAGGGTGTGGAGACCAGAGAGACCAGAGCCCTCTGTAGCCGGTGGGAATGTCAGTGTAGAAAACAATTTGTCATTTACTAAAAATCAAAACCTAAACTTACCATGTAGCCCAGCAGTACACTCCTAGGAATCTTCCCAGTAGAAGTGAGCACAGCCTGTCCCCATAGAGGTGCATACATGAAGGTTCATAGCAGCAATATTTGTAGTAGCCAGAAACAGAAAATAGTCCAGATGTCCCTCAGCTGGCGAATGGATAGGCAAAACTTAGCATGTCCTTATGATGGAAAACTGTTCAGCTCTAAAAAGGGTCTGACTTCAGACACATGAACCTGAACAACAGTGCATTAAATGAGAGACACCAGCCGCATGCCGTGCAAGTCCATTTGTGTACAGCGTCTAGAGAAGGTGCATAGAGTAGGGAGAGAGATGAGCAGCTGGTGAGGCCGGTGTAATGTGTTGTTGGAATCCCTGTGGGCTGGGATGTGCAGCTTTACACTTTTTCACAGTCATTGAATCGCCCTCTTAGAATGGGTAAATTTTAGGAGATAAACCACATCTCACTGAACCTGTTTACAGAAAGCTCATAAGATGATACCTGTCTCATCACATCTCGTGATCTCTCCTTTTTAGGGGGAGTAAAACTTGGACTGGGAGATTTCATTTTCTACAGTGTTTTGGTTGGTAAAGCCTCGGCAACAGCTAGTGGAGACTGGAACACAACTATAGCCTGTTTTGTAGCCATCTTAATTGTAAGTATGCACTAATGAAAGTGTGTCAGAACTCTATCCCTTAAGACAGTTCTGTTTTAACCCCAGGCGTGTAAGTGTCTAACTTGCCTAAAAAACTGTTTATACACACGGGTAGTTGGGCTTCTCCTCAGTAGTGATGGACACAGGCCACACATTAGTCACCTGGGAGCTTGCGGTACCGAGCTCTGCCCTGAGACATTATTTAATCTGTTTTAATTGTGTAGTTTTTGAACACTCCCCAGGAAGTTCTGGTAAGTCCTTCTGGTTGATAACTCCTGCTGCAAGCCCAGCCACTCATTCAGATGAAATGGACTCTGCAGGGTCGGTGTTGGGGGTAGGCAGGTCCTCACTCAGTCCCTGGACTTATCTCAAGAGCTTCGGGTGTTGCATCTGAAGACACCCATAGCATAGTCACTTTAGGCAGCAGGTACACATGAGGGAAGCACCCCTCCATAAGTCTTGTTCTCAGACCCTCAGCATGAACCCTGAAACTTTCAATATTCACTTCAGGAAACAACCCAGAAAATGTCACACTACTGTTTTCACAAGGATGTGAGGTTTGCATGTATGGTATGTGAGTGAGTTTAGATTTACGCATTTATTTTGTGGTTACTTTGTGATTTATCATGATAATGTAACAAGTTAGAATGTTCATGTATTCTGTTTCTTTTTTGAGGTTTTCTGGATCTGAAAGTATTTATTGGCTTTTTGTATCTTTTAAGAGGAAATTTACTTATTCTGAATAAACAAATGTGCACACCCTCCAGGCTTATAGTCAGTGTCTAACTACCCAGTAACTGGGTAGCAGTGAACTGTATTACATGGCTGCTTCTGCTCTCAAGGAAGCAACATGCTTCTTGCAGTCAAGCTTTGGGAGCCATCTGTCCTGTCAGCACCTCTCTGTCCCACACAGCATGAAGAATGCTCTTTACCTCTGGGACTGTAGCAAGTCAAACGAAAGTCACAGAGGCCAAAGCAATATTTAACATAAAAATTTCAGTATTAGTTAATTTTGGTTTTCAAAAATAGTTTTATTTATTTTCAGATGTTTTTTAAGAGATGAGGTCTCGCTATGTTTCCCAGGCTGGACTTGAACTCCTGGGCTTAAAGGATCCTCCCACCTCTACATCCTGAGCTGCAGGGACCACAGGTGCTGATGATTAATTCAGATTCTGCTGCTTTCCTAGATTGAGGGAATAAAATATCAGTGTGAACTCTGTGCAGCAAAGAAAGATAAATGTTATCTCCTTTTTATCAAGGATCTACATTATATTTCATGACTCTTCTTTCAGATATAGTAAAACATTTGTTCTAAAATGTAACCCCAAGAAAAGGGTTCACTTAACTGGTGAAAACCAGCCTTGTTCTGCTGGAGACATCCTCGTGACTGCCTGTGCCTGGTCTCCCTGCAGGGCTTGTGCCTTACGCTGCTCCTCCTCGCCATCTTCAAAAAGGCCCTGCCAGCCCTCCCGATCTCCATCACCTTTGGGCTTGTTTTCTACTTTGCCACGGATTATCTCGTCCAGCCTTTCATGGACCAGCTGGCGTTCCACCAGTTTTACATCTAGCGTGCGGGCCATGGTAGTCCACAGGTGTCTCCCTTGGCTGCAGTGAACCTGGGCATACCAGGGTGACTCTTCCTGTCTGCGTCCAACAGACGAGACTCCCACTAGACTCTGTGTCCCCTTCCCTATTTTCTTGACCATGTGCACTGTTGAATGTTGAAGGAGGTGTCCCTGGAAAACGGTTTTTAACATCTTCATCATGGTGGTCAGTGTCCCTGGGTACAGAAGCCATCAGGTTTGAGGGACACAACATGGATGTGATGCTGAGAAGTACTGTGCTCCCTGGACAGCATGGCCTCGTCCCAACACTGCAGACGCTGCTGTGGTAGGGGGTAAAGTGGTGGCTCGTGCTAAACAGAACCCTTCATCTGAACTGCATGTTGAAAGTCAGCCCAGCCCATCTGTGTTAGCTGAGCTCTGACTTGTTGGGAGGTGCTGTGTGGACCGCAGCTGCCAGCCGCATGTGGAGGAGGTTCCGGCTTTCGCTACAGGTGTCTCTGCTGCAGACTAATAGCTTCTCAGTAAGACTTTGTTCTCCACTTTGGGTCATTGGGTGTGTAGGCTGCGTTGACAGTTTTCTTCCTCAAACCCTGAAACTCAACCATCTGTGGTTGTCATTTCTTCCCAGTTCACTCTGAGCTGAGCTGAGGTTACTTTATCCTAAGAGTGCTAACCTTAGGTTCCACATTCAGGCATTTCTGGGACAGTTGCTCATCCTTTCCCATCACCCTTAGGCAAATTCTGGATTTTCACCAAATTCCCAATTTGAGACCCACCTGCAGGTTTGCTTGCTCCAGATATCTCCTCTGTCCCATCCTCTCCTCTACAGAAGGTAACCTGTGGGGATGGCAGCCCTATAATCCCAGAGCTTTCTCTCTGTGGTGCAGAGAATGTTACAAGCCGGTGCTGTCAGCCCTGCAGTCCCAAAGATAGTGCCGCTCGAGAAGAGTAAACAGCTGGCAGAGCACTGGCTGTCCTGGTTTCCTTTTTTTCTTGCTGCAACCCATCATCTCCAGCAGTAGGTCCAAACTCAACTAATGGCCAAAAGCTGGTGGTATATAAGTTTCTGATTTAGTTGTATCAACACAGAGTAAGAGCTTGGAGAAAGCCATGATTTCACACGGGAGCCGTGGAAAAGCCAGGATTGGAAGAAGGGGCCTACAGGGCCAAGGACAGGCAGACAGGGGATGGGAGAGGAGCCCCAGGTTGTTCTCGGGACCACAGACTCACTGGCCACTGCCTTTCCTCTCAGTGACCTCTGGAGAGCAGGTCAGCAGAGAGGCCGTGGTCTCCTGGAGTTCAGGCTCTGTGTGTTTGGTCCGACAGCACAGGCGCCCTCAGCCTGTGGGCCAGACACCTCCATGAAGCCTTGCAGGGTCCTTGGCCATAGGGCTCAGACTGTCAGCATTTGTGATCTTGCTGCTGAAGAGGGCTGTTTTATCATGTGCTGGCTGTTTTCTCTCCCAGCCTGTCACATGGTCCAGTGGGATGGGGGGGTCTCTGGGGGAGTCTAGCACGTTGTTTTCTGTCTTGGATGTTGCTTCTGGGAACCTCACTTGAGGAGTCATGTGCTAGTGCTGCCTGAGTGCAGGCAGATGTGGGCTTGTATCAGGCACTGGGCAAGAGAAGAAAGGACTCTGCAGAGAAAGCGGATCTCCTACTTGCAGGCTCTGGGCCTCACATTATTTTTCCACGTAGCCCCTGTGTCCAAGATCCCTTTTTTCCTCTCGGACATGAGTGTATTATCCTCCAGAAGCTGCACACCCAGAAACCACGTGCGAATCAATGTGTTCCTGAAACAGTCCTTCCCTGGGGCAGTCTGTCAGTGTGGAGACCCTGAGCGTTTGTCTTCCATAACAGCTTTCCCTCCTTAGAGGGTGGGGAGGGGTTAGTTTCCCCTGTGTAGAAGGGTGGCAGTTGTTTTGTCTCTCTCTGCAAGCTTGACCCACATCTCAGTCACATTATAAAACAGTGTACAGAGAACCTGTCTTCTTTCTTTTTTTTTTAGGGACAAGGTCTTGCTACGTTGCCCAGGCTGGACACAAACTCCTGGGCTTAAGTGATCCTCCTGCCTTGGCCTCTTGAGTTACTGGGCCAACAGTCCATCTTATTTCCTTAAATCACTGATCTCAGACACCGAACTTTTTCTTCAAACATTCCTTAAATCACCTCAGGATGTTTCATCGTAAATAATCAAAATGCTATCTTCACCATGGAAAGTAGACTGTCACTGGAGAGAATAGTAGCAGTCTCCCATGGGATTTGCCTTCACACACACACACACACACACACACACACACACACACACACACACACACAAGAGAGAATGGCTTTGGAGTCAGGAAACACGAGCAGCAGTGTGACCAGCCATGCCAGCTGCTTAATAAGGAAAAGACAGGAGGAAGGACAGTAGCCACGAGAGGCCTGAGTCTGACCAGCCTGCAGGATAATGGGCTGTGTCGCTACAATGCCTGTGTTTGATTCTCATTAGGTTGGTGTCACAGCTCTCACTCTAAATGACTAAATTTCTCTATCAGAAAAAATGGAGAAAGGGAAGTTTTCCAAGTAACTGGGAAGGAAACAGTCACAAGTCAGGAATGTAATGATTTCACTACAGAAGCAACAACCAAGGAGTCAGTGTTTACACTTTGAGACTCCTGGGGCCCCATTTTTTTAAAGTGTCCCAGTGTCCCTCTGATTTTAAAAATCTTCCTTTCATATAAAATACCCAAGCATAATGTTTGGAACTTGTTTTTGTTTTGTTTTGTTTTGTTTTGTTTGAGTCGGGGTCTTACTTTGTTGCTCAGACTGGAGTGCAGTGGCATGATCATGGCTCACCATAGCCTCAACCTCCTGGGCTCAAGCAGTTCCTCCTGCTTTCAGCCTCTCGAGTAGCTGGGACTATAGGTGCACACCACCACACCCAGCTAATTTTTATAAGTTTTGTAGAGACGAGTTCTTGCTATGTTGCCTAGGCTGATCTCAAACTCCTAGGCTCAAGCAATCGCCTGCCTCGGCCTCCCAGAGTGCTGGGATTACAGGCGCGAGCACTCATATACCCAGCCATAGTACTTGTTCTTTACTTGGTCTCAGACTTAATATGTGTCTTCTAGAGCATCATAGTAGAATGTGAAATCTGAGTTAAACTACCAAATGGTGTCTGCCAGGGCTCGATGGCTGTGGGAAGCTGTGCCTTCAAACACCAGTACCTGGCTGGTGTATCTGATCATTCGTGATCTAACCCTGGAAGAAAAAGAGCCCAGAAGCCACCATGAAAAGATCTATTCGGCCAGGCATGGTGGCTCAAGGGAGTAATCCCAGCACTTTGGGAGGCTGAGGTGAGAGGACTGCCTGAGCCCACAGGTTCGAGACCAGCCAGGGCAACTTGGCAAGACCTCATCTCTACAATAAATCAAAAAAATTAGCCAGGGGTGGTAGTGCGTGCCTGCAGTTCCATCTACTTGGAAGGCTGAGGCAGAAGGATCACCTGAGCCCAGCAGGCCGACATTGGGTTAGCCATGAGCATGCCACTGAACTCCAGTCTGGGCAACAGAGTGAGAGTGCAACTCAAAAAAAAAAAAATCTGTTTGATGTCTTCCACATTTCAGGTGTGTGCTGGTGTTAAAGTACAGCGTAAGAATACAGCTGTAGTCTTATCTTCTTCCATATGACATCTCTAAAACATTGGGTATTTGTCAATAACCACTTTTCATGGTTACTTTTGCTGATAAATTAATGGTATAAAGGTGACTCAATTCTTTCGAAACCAGTTTTTCCAGCAAAGTACTCCTTTTTCTTCCTTTTTTTTTTTTTTTTTTTTAAATTTTGACTTATTGTAGAGATGAGGTCTCGCCAAGTTGCCCAGGCTGGTCTCAAACTCCAGCACTTTGGGAGACTGAGGATTACCTGAGTGCAGGGGTTCGAGACCAACGTGGGCAACCTGGTGAGACCTTGTCTCTACAATAAGTAATAAATAAATAAATAGCTGGGCATGGTGGCACTCACCTGTAGTTCCAGCTACTTGGAAGGCTGAGACAGAAGGATCACCTGAGCCCAGCAGGTCGAGGCTGGGATAGCCATGAACATGCCATTGCACTCCAGCCTGGGTGACAGAGTGAGACTCCAACTCAAAAAAAAAAAAAAAAGAAAAAAAAGAAAGTCTTAGCCAGGCGCAGTCGCTCATGCCTATAATCCCAGCACTTTGGAAGGCCAAGGCAGGATGACTGCCTGGACCCAGGAGTTTGAGACCCAGCAGGGCAACATTGTGGGATCTTGTCTCTGCAAAAAGAAAAAAAAATGTTTCACCTCCAGGGCATTCTGAGCACTGAATTTAGAAAGGGACTTGAAAATCAGACATTTGCCTGGGAGTGGAAATAATATATCATTATATGTTGGAGCCCAGAAGCTGTCCTTGGGACCTTTTCACCTTTTTTAAGCTGCCCAAACACAAGGGATTAAACACTCTGGCTTCAGCCCTTCTCAGTGCTTATTGAAACCACTGGCCAGAGTGTCCCATTGAGGCCACCAAGGCTCCTGCTCATCTGTACATGATGATGGAACAGCCCTCTCCTAGGAAACTCTCAGATGTGCACACTGAAAAGCACCTGGTGCTGAAAGGAACCCCTTTCTTGAACATCAAAGCCATCTCCCAGGGCCTTGGGTAGCAAGGCCCCCTTATGGGATGCCAAGTCCACCCTGGGCCCTGGATGAGGTACTGGTGTTTTCGCTTGGTCTGTGTGGCAGGAAAGAGTCTCAGAAAGTGCTTTTCCTTTTGAAATACGTAATTGCTGAAACTAGGTGGCTTCAGACCAAGTGCACTGGTAGCAGCACAGGCCTGTCTTTGGCACTGTTGGAGGTTCCAGAGGAGGGTTTCGGCCGGGTCCCTGGCTTCTGCTTCAGTGGATGCCACTTCATATGTTATTCAGGCCGACTGTGAACGCATCGTATACATGTCTGTCATGCAGTTTTGATAGACGATTGCAGATTTTCCTGTATTTGTCAGA